AACAGGAAAGAGAAAGAAGAAGGCATGGAAGAGGATGGTTGCAAAAGTTTGCTTTGTTGGAGATGGCGCTACTAGAAAACCACCTAAATATGAAAGATTCATTAGGCCAATGGGCTTACGTTTCAAGAAGGCCCACGTAACACATCCTGAACTGAAAGCCATCTTTTGCCTGCCAATACTCGGCGTAAAGAAGAATCCCTCATCCCCACTATATACAACTTTGGGTGTTAACACCAAAAGTACTGTCATTGAGATGAACGTGAGTGAGCTGGGCCTTGTGACACTAGGAGGCAAGGTTATTTGGGGTAAATATGCCCAATTTACCAACAATCCTGAAAATGATGGATGTATAAATGCTGTTTTACTGGTTTGATAGCAGTTGCATACAAATAACTCCTTGTAATTTTGAAGATGATACACCATCTTGAAAACTATCATGACTGATGTTTCTGAATATAGCCGGTCTTACATGTCTGCAGTCATCAAAAGATTATTTATTAAATTGTACAAAAACATTAAAGTGGTCTGGTTTTACAAAAAAAAAAAATCTGATAAAACACAAGTCCTTTTTCCTAGCATACATATACACAAACATAACACACAAACTTTACATATAGTTTAAAGAGATTCGCAGATGCCTAGAAGTCCTGGTTATGGACTCTATATTTGGGTTTCCTACCCCTACATAAAGAGAATATAGCTAAGTGAGGCTAACATTGAGAGGATGAAACCAAGGGAACCAACTAAAAAGTGGGCACTGAGATTTGGACAGTACTGAGTGAAATGGATATTTGGATACTTTGATCTTGGTAGTATTCATTAGAGTCATTGATGATCATTTGAAAAATAAAAAAAATTGGAAAATTCATCTAAAAAGAATTTACATATTTTTTATTTTCTCTTTAGTTAGCACTGTTAAAACTACCTCTTGCTATTAGTCCACAACTTTCTGTAGATCTTTTGGCATATTACTGTCCCTTCTAACCATTTCTTCTAGTCATTTGTTTATTTTTTTTTTCTTCATTTGAGTAGTAGAAAATAGACTTTATTTATTTATTTAAAAAAAATTTTTTGAGAGGTTTTTCACTATAGGGCGCATGCGTTTGCCAGACAGACAGAGAGAGACAGAGAGGCAGAAAGTGAGAAATCACCCTCCAGGGGGTATGGCCATGCCGCAATCCCTCCTCCTCCAATCTCCTCTCTGGATCTTGGGCACGCACGCACACGTGCCCGGCGTGAGTTTTAAGTCACCGGGTCCGGGACGTGAACCGCGGTTGACTATGTGGGAGTCCAGCGACATAGCCATTACGCTAACTGCTGATCCCATAGAAAATAGACTTTAGAAAAGCACTTTTAAAAGAACTTTTGGGGCTGCTGTGTGGTGTGATGGTTAAGGTGCTGGGCTCCCACATTGCTTACTGCTGTTCAAGTTCTGGACCTGGTAGCTTTCTTTCTCTCTCTCTCTGGTCAAATGAATAATAATAATAATTAATAAAATAAAATGAATAAGTCTTAATAAAAATAACTTTTAATGGATAGTTGGGGGATGAGTCTAGGATAAATCAAAGAAAACTGCTACATAGCTATAATAGCTTCACATAGCTATAATAAAAAACTCAATCCTGTGACCATCCAAAGCAATTATGGAACTCCAAAGGATAAGGAACTTAGTAAATAACTTAAATCATAAAATTGGCCAGATCTAAACATTCTGATAAAATTTAGGTATCTTCAACCATGATTGTAGTGTATTACTGGTACTGATTTTGCTTTAGGCAACTTCATCACCGGGTACTAAATATTTCATGTTCATTTGGAGCTGCCAAACATTTAAAAAAATATTTAAAAGATCAATGGTAAATATTAAAATCAGTCATACAATAAAGACATGTGCTTATATTTGGACCCGTAACAATCTGTTTTAGGTGTCATTGCTGGATAAAGAAACTGTTATAAAAGACATAACAGTATTATAGGAAAACATAAAAAGAACTATAAATCTTAGTCAGAATTTCTAAAGTATAATTTTAATTTGTAATCTGTTGTTAATTTTATTGGTAGAACTAAAGTAAAATTTTCTGATCTTTTGTATGCTCAATTGAATAATTATTTCCTTTATGTTTCTAATTAAATAGTTCAATAGCATTTTCTTGGGAAAAACTTTGTTTTTAGAGATAATTTATTTGTCTTTAGTTTTGATGTGAAATGACAACTACTTCCCTTTTTATCATGCCCATCTGCTTGTACAGAATGGAATAATTTCTTGGAAAAAATACCAACTTGTATTAATTAAACATTTAGTGAGTAAGAGTTCTTATTTAGACTGTGGTATTAGTTGTTGTGACTACAACTTGACTTGCCTCTTCTTCAGAAGGGGTTAGGTTTAATTCAGTGGCTATTAAATCTTTGATAAATAGAATTCAGGCCTTTGTTTATAGAAAATACAATTTGGAGATATGTTCTAGAGCAAGTTTTCTGAGTTTTGACATCAGCATTTTTTTTTTTTTGAACGATTTTTGCTATAGGGTGAGTGCGCTTGACAGAGAGACAGAAAATGAGAAATCCCTCTCCCGGGGGATGGCCATGCCACAGTCCTTTCTCCTCCAATCTTCTCTCAGGATTTAGAGCACTCACATACACGCACCTGGCATGTGTTTTAAGCCACTGGGTCCAGGACACGAACCGCAGTCAGCTATATGGGAGTCTAGCGACATAGCCATTATGCTAACTGCTGGCCCCAACACCATCAGCATTTTAGGTCAGATAATCTTTGTTTAGGCGTAAGTGGGTGTATGTCAGTCCTGTGTATAGTAGGATGTTTAACAGTATCCCTGACCTCAGACCACTAGCTGCCAGTAGTAGAGTAGTATCACATCTCTCTCCCTCACTTGTAACAATCAAAAATGTTTCTGATATTGCCAAATGTTCCCTAAGATATTGAGGTTTTTGTGTTTGGGCTTTTGCTTTTGACTGGAATTAAGTCCCCTTTATGTACTCTGATATCACTGGTTATCACCCGTAAGAAGTTCTGATTACATATGTGATTAATAAGAGTAAGAAAACAATAACTGATAAATGTAAATACCTTACAGAAAAAATTTCAAACAAAAGGGTTTTTGTATTTAAAAGACCTAGTATTTATCATCTATGGCTATATGTAAAATTGCTCCCAAACTTAGCATCTGAAAATGAACACTTATTATTTCATAATTTCTGAGGGTCAAAAATCCAGGATCAACTTAACTGGGTACTTCCATCTCAAAATTACTCATTAGGTGGCACTCAAATTGTTGGCTGGGTTGCAGTCATTCCAAGGCATAACTGGGACTGGAAAATTCACTTCAAAGCTCATTCAAGCGGGTTGTTGGCAGGTCCTGGGTCCTTGTTGGGTTTTGGCCAAAGGCTTCAACTTCTCACCAGTGGGCCTCTCCATAAAGGCCATTTATAACATTGTAGCTTGCTTCTCTCAGAGTGATATATCTAAGAGTGAGAAAGAATATGCCCAAGACTGAGGCCATAGTCTGTTTTGTATGCTATTCTCGGAAATGACATACTATCATTTCTGTCATGTACTGTTGGCCATACAGACTAACTCAAGTATAAAGTGGCAGGAGATTGCACAAGTCTGTGAGCAACAGGAAGTGGGGATCATTTGGGA